TTTTTTAAAAGAATTACAGTCTCTTTGAAATGTCCTAAAGGACTTGTGACCAAGGGCACAGGAGCAGAGAGGAAAGGGAGTCTCTGAATGACCCTGGGGGACTCAAGTGGCAGTGAGAGCCTAGGGGACTCTAGAAGGATGAGGGGTCTCCAAGAGGGACAGGCAAGGGAGGGCATTGCCTCCAGGGAAGGGCCTGACCAAAGACAGGAGGCGCCGGAAGGAAAAGCATGTTGCCAAGGCCTTGATCGTAGCTTCTGACGTCCAGAAATGTGAAACCATGAATCCATGACCCGTGGGGTGTAAGCCACTGGTTTGTGGTCATTTGTTACAGCAGATATAAGAAACCCATACAGTGTTCATGAACCTCTTTCCTCCATGATTGCTCATGTTGCTCAATTTTGCTGATGACTCCATTTATTAGTAGTATATTTTTCAACCCAAAATGCACTAAATACAAATGACATAACAGTGATATTTTGACATTGCCATTTTAAGCAAAGACAAATTTCCCCACATAAGTTTCTAGACAGAGAACACCATATAGAACCCATGTGAATTGCCTGGCACATTTGGGAACATAGCCCAAGCAGGAGGGGTGGAGAGGGAGCACCTCATTGGTTTTGCAACAGCACCGTCGTTTCATCTTTCAAAGCACTCTGGTGTTTTGCCTTTATTTTGCCAAAAAGCAATTTTTCTGTGTTTTTATTGTAAGAGCAATTTTAGTGAAAGGTACCGAGAAGGGTGAAAACTTGGTAAAGAAAATGGTTCAAAATAAGAATATACCTTCCAATTTGACCTTGGGGTGGTGAACACACAGTACTATACACAGATGATGTGTTATAGAATTGCACACCTAAAACCTATATAATTTCATCAACCAATGTCACCCCAATAAATTCAATTTAAAACAAAAATTAAAAAGAAGAATGTACCTTCCAAAAAAAATGGCTCTGTCCCGCCCCTTTTCCATCAACCGTCATCTACGGTCACCACCCAATACTGAGCCACTCCTTTAGCAAAAATACTGATGTTTTCTACACGGTATAAGCTGCATTTAATTACGTTCATGTTGGTGTTGGTTCTATAAACTCGCTTTCATTATTCGGCTAAAGCAGCTGAGCAGAGGGTGGGCCCGTGCGGGCAGGCCCAGGAATGAGCATTGTTACAAGCTCCCCATAGAATCCCCTGGTGATAATTAACGTGTGAGCACCATGGCCTCAGGGAATAACAGGACAATGTTTACCCGGGTGGCATGGCCTCTATCACATTTCCCAGTGCTTCCCTTTTCCACTGCCAGTATTTGCAACAGAAAGATGAATTAATATTGTTTTCACAAACATAGTACAGTTTTTCGAGGGCAAAACTGGGGATTTTTTTTTAAAAAAACACACACACATAACCCAATGAAAATGGCTTTTCTCGAGTATCCAGTCGCTCACTCCCTTCCAGTAAAGCAGTTGATTCCCAGCAGACTGGAAATGGGACAATTTCCGGAGATTCAGATTGAAGACATTCATCACAGGCACTCCTGAATGGCTGTCAAATTTTGGCAAACCTAGATCAGAGAAAGGAGACAGGAAATGCATAATTCATCCCCACACACAGGAAGCACGGTGTCTAGTCACTGCGCACGCACGCACGTGCACACTAGCTTGAATGACAACCAGGAAAGCAGAGCTGCAGCGTCCAGCAACTTTTTTTTTTTTCCTTAGCAGTTCTCTTTCTTCCCTCTGACAGGCTCCAGAGGTTTTGGCCCCTCCTCCCAGCTCGTTAGTTAGTTAATGACCATTTCATATTGTTTTCTGACCCGACCCCGTCTACAACTGAAATGCCCGTAGGGTACCAACTGGGGTTTTCCCATATTTCTACTCCCTAAAGTTTGTTCATTCATTCGCCAACTGCCTCCCTGCATGTCAGCGTAGAGAGAACAGAAGTTACCCATTTTGCTACCCTGAAGCCATACGTTGGCAAAATGCAGACTGCTGATGCTAACACACCACTGGCAGACTGGCAGGTGGCGTACCTGTGATGACCTTCATTTGAAAGGGACACTCTGGCCAATGGTGGACAATATAGACTGTCCCCAAACTCACAGACTTTATTTTTTTATTTTATTTCTTTTCAGAGAGAGAGAGAGAGAGAGAGAGGCATCGATTTGTTGTTTCACTTATGTATGCATTCATTAGTTGACTCTTGTATGTGCCCTGACCAGAGATTGAACCCACAACCTTGGTGGGTTCAATATTGGGACGATGATCCAACCAAGTGAGCTCCTGGGCCAGGGCCCAAACTCAGACTTTAAATTTAACAAAGAAGCCAGTTGAGTAAGAATTGCATTACGGTAAGACAAGGGCTTGACTTGAGAAGCATAAACTGCTCAAGAATCGGCACTAATCTGACGTATGTAGAGCGCAGGGCAGGTGGGAGGGCTCCTCCATCAGTGTCTGCGGAACTGGGTTCCCCAGCCTGCCCTCCACCCCCTCAGATCCTCACCCTTGATTCTTGGAACAGACTAATGAGTCACTCTTGACTCCTGATGGTAATAACCACGTCTTTGGCTCATTAGTTTCAGGAGATGTTTCTGTGTGAGGGAGGGGGTTGCAAAATCTATACCGTATAGGCACAGAGCCCTTGGCTATAAAGTACTTTAAGAAATGATGCAGCAAAGACATTCAATGTGATGAATATTTATGGCATATGTACCATTTTCAAGGCATTGAGATGGATACAAAAGTGAAGTCAGAAGTCCTTGTTTTCATAGGTCTTAAAGGCAAGAGCGTGTGTGGATGACGCCTGGTGGGCAGGGAATTGGTAGAAATGGAGAGAGAGAGCGAGAGAACAAGTTAAAATGTGCACACAAATAACCAAAGAAGGGCTCTTACTGCAGAGTTGAGGCTGGGGATGAGGGTGTTTCAGAAGGAATCATGGTCCTTGTTCTGATCTAATTACTTTTAGGAGAGAACAAATTAGCTCAGAACAGCGGGAGGTGCCCTCAGAGCAGGAAGTGACCTGATGCCTGCAGGTCAGACGCGGGCTCTTCCAGAGGAAGCCTTCCTTCCCTTACTCCCCCCACTTCCTGGTCTGGAGAGACCTCCCTCCTGGGGTTCCCATAGCCTCTGTGCTAACTCTGTGCTTGCACTTCCCATATTCCCACTCCACTGTGCCCTTTCCACGTCCTTCTACCAGGGGTGGGGAACGTCTGGCCCGAGGGCCGTATGAGGCCTGTGAAATCATGGGGTCTGGCCCTGCCAAGGCATTGGGGGTGAGTTAATGAAAGGTTTGACCAAATACAGCAGGCTAGTTTTTAAGTTGATAATTTTGTATGGCCCCCGAATGATGTTCTAAATATCCACATGGCCCTGGGCAGGAAAAGGGTTCCCACCCCTGCATTAGACTCCGCATTCTCGAGGCCCTGCACGCAACCCTGGCACCTAGTGCCAGTGTGAGCCTTAATGAGACCATAAATGTCTGCTGAGCAGAGCTGGGCGCCCAGCACCGCACAGAGCATGTAAGTCCTGAAGAGAGACTTAGGAGGCTCCGTGATGCCACGCTGGGGTCTTACAAACATCTTTCCACGAAGTTTGCAGTCAATGTGCAGAGTGACCTGGAGAGGCTGCTGGAGGTGGAGACCTCCCTGCAGACATCCGGAGTCGGGAGGCCCGGCATTAGGTTGCATGCATCTGCTCTTCAAACCAGCCCTGCCCCGACTCTCGAGAGTGGGTCAGTTAACTGTACACGTTCATCTTAAAACCCACAGAGAAGGGGTGTATGCAGGTGGCACCACCTGACAAGCAGGAATGCCTTCCCTTCCCTTCCCTTCCCTTCCCAGGAAGCTGGGTTACCCAATGACTCCTCGGGTGGATTCTTCGGTTCAGGCATTGTCTGTCGGCCAGGCCAGTCCTGACTAACATACCGACCTCCCAGCTCACCAGCAGACCCGCAGCTAATGCCCCATGAGGTGGAGAGCGACCACAGCCAGGGGAGGGGGGAGGGCACCTTAGAAGAGCTTTAAGCAAATGCCGTTCATTTACCAGGACTTCTCAGGTAACCTGAGGACCCAGTTTTCTAACTATCAGATTAGACAAAACTTAGCCGTATGAGCGCCTGCACCCGGAAACCTGGAATGCCAGGAGACTCAGGGGAAGCATCGCTTAAAGTGCCAGGAAATCGATATCGGCTGGAGCTCTCAACAAAATAAATCTCTCTCAGCCTCGCTGTGATCACAGAATTAACCGCGATCCCGTGAACAGGGCCACGCAGCATGGAGAGCAAAGGCCAGCGGGCGCATTTGAATGCAGGCCTCCACTCAGGCTGCATGCTGAAGGGAAGGTAATTAACACATCCATCTTCAAGGGATGGGGCTTTGCAGGCTGTTTGACATTCTGAGAGCCTCCCCACCCCACCCCCACCTCCCTTGTCCCAGCCACCCTCTGAATATGCTGAGCCTGCAGCCTGCAGCCAGCAGCCAGGGCGATGGTCCCCTGCCTGAGGGGTGGCCTGGACATCAGCATTGGTCACCAGGATCATTTCCCCGGGCAGGTGCCAGTTATTGGGGAAACGCTAAGAAAAAAGGCTTCCTCATAAGATGTATTTTTAAAGTGCAGGGCTATGGCTCTACTAAAGCCCTTTAGAACTATTTAAAAATTAAAGTTCACATCATGTCCTAAGTCCTGGTGCCTTAAAAATTAACTACCTATTTGATGTAAGGCTTTAAAGACAGGATAAGACTGTCAGATGTTAGTGGCAAGAGAAAGCCTTCGTAGGGACGGGCGGCCAGGGCCCTTCCTGGACAGTCCTCGCCGTCATCACGCAGGCCAGAGGGATCTGGGACCACGACTCACGGTCACCTTTGCCCAGACAAGGGTAACGCCTGGTGCCTTAAAAATTAACTACCTATTTGATGTAAGGCTTTAAAGACAGGATAAGACTGTCAGATGTTAGTGGCAAGAGAAAGCCTTCGTAGGGACGGGCGGCCAGGGCCCTTCCTGGACAGTCCTCGCCGTCATCACGCAGGCCAGAGGGATCTGGGACCACGACTCACGGTCACCTTTGCCCAGACGAGGGTAATGGTCACCTTTGCCCAGATGGGTAACAAGGCAACACTCACCGAGCGCAGGGGCCGGCGTTGAAGTAGCTGGCAAGGCTGAGCAGCAGGGACTTGACAACATCTTGGTGAGAGAGAGAAAATACATCAGAATGACCGACATTGGAAGGGAGCCCAGGAATCAGAGCGGCCACTCGGGACACGGTGACTTACAGGCAATCGTGATGGTCAAGGAGCACGTGAAGACACCGGCTACCAGTCCTCCCAGCAGCCACCTGCACCGACAGAGGGCTGGGTCAGCAGAGTAACCGTGCGTTGCCGACACGTGAGAGGTCCTTTCAGACCGACTATAGATGATGTACGGGGTCAACATTTACTATGAAACTACAGGGTCCCGGCCAGTGTGGCCCAGTTGGTTGGGCATCGTCTCATGCACCAAAAGGTCTCTAGTTTGAATCCCGCTTGTACGGGGTCAACATTTACTATGAAACTACAGGGTCCCAGCCAGTGTGGCCCACTTGGTTGGGCGTCATCTCATGCATCAAAAGGTCTCCGGTTCGAATCCCACTCAGGGAACATGCCCAGGTTGCAGGCTCGATCCCCAGTAGGGGACGTGCAGGAGGCAGCCAAAGATTTTCTCTCTCTCTTTCTCTCTCTCTCCCTCTCCTTCTTCCACTCTTTCTAAAATCAATAAAAACATTTAAAAAAAAACTACAATAATAGAGTGTTGTATTGACAAAAGGATAGAAATATGGATCAATGGAAGAGGAGAGACAGCTCAGAACAAGACGCATACAGAGAGAGTTGAGTGATTTTTAGCAGAGTTGCAAAAGCAACCAATGGTATTGAGACAATTGTATATCCACGTGCAAAGAATGAGCCTGCACATGTACATCACTCCTTGACTCAAAATGAGTCAGAGACTGAAATGGAAACCACAGAAGCCTGAAACTTCTAGAAGAAAAACAAAGGAGAAAGTCGAAGTGCCCCTGCTTCCCAACCCCGCCCCAAAAGTCTGCGAAACATCTGGGGTTTTGCCAATCTGCTGAACGACTGTGGCAAGGAGTGGGTTTCTTTTTAAAGAATAATGTCTTCATTGTTTTTGTGTTCAAACTATGAATTATTGAAAGAGATGACAAATATGTACAAAGGAGAAAGGAGAATATAAAAAACTCAACCGCCTGAAGCAAGTATCTAAATGCAGCTCACACTCAAGGGATGCGGAGTTAAGCTCCCCATATATATATATTGTTTTTGTTTTTGTTTTTTTGTTAATCCTCACCTGAGGGTATTTTACCATTGATTTTTAGGGAGAGTGAAAGAGAGAGGGAAAGACAGAGAGAAACATCGATGTGAGAGAAACACACCGATTGGTTGCCGCCTGTAAGCCCTGGACCAGGGCCCGGGCCAGGGAGAAGCCTGCAACCAAGGTATGTGCCCTTGACTGGAATCGAACCCAGGACCCTTTGGTCTGCAGGCCGACACTCTATCCCCTGAGCCACACCGGCGAGGGCTAAGCTCCCCTCTTAAGGGAGAGGCATGTCTATAGAAATTAACTTAAGAGGAATGTTCCGTTAACAGTCCTGTGACATAACAGGAAAGGGCTCCAGGACCAAGCAGGTTTAGGAAACGCCGAAGGCGTCTCTCTCTGCCTTACTCCGCCGTGGCCTGCGCGCTGCGGCACATGGTCCTCCCGTGTGACACAGGAGGCAGGAGCTGGCAAGTTTATTTTTAGCCACAGGACCTCCCCCCCATTTTTGTCCCTTGGTCCCATTGTGATCTAAAAATACTTCTCAAACCTCGTAATTATCTGGGAAGCTCATTTCCAAACATTGATTCTCATTAGATCTAAATCAGTATCTGAGGGGATGGGATCCAGGATGCTGGATTTAAAAACACAACTCCCCTGCCCTGGCTGGTTTGGCTCAGTGGATAGAGCGTCGGCCTGCGGATTGAAGGGTCCCAGGTTCGATTCCGGTCAAAGGCATGTGCCTTGGTTGCGGGCACATCCCCCGTGGGGAGTGTGCAGGAGGCAGCTGATCCATGTTTCTCTCTCATTGATGTTCTGACTCTCTATTCTTATCCCTTCTTCTCTGTAAAAAATCAATAAAATATATTTAAAAACAAAAAAAAAAGAAAGAAAAACACAACCCCCCTATGTGACAGGGGAGAGCAAGTAGCACTTGCGAGGACCCCAGGACTGTGCCATTCCTCCCTCTTTCACTGACTCAGCAAATACTGATGAGCCCCTAAAACTGGGGATGCAGTAGTGAAGGAGATATGCCATGTCTCAGCTCTCGCGGAGTTCCCATTCTTATAGGGAGAAATAAGTCATTAACACTTATACACATGAACATTTAATAAGTGCTCTAAAGAAAAGTAAAGTGAGGTCTGTGTGATGGAGAGTGGTCAGGGGAGGGCTCCCTGACAATGTGACGTAGGAACAGATTCCGGAAAGATATACATTATGAGGCTTTGGGGAAAAGACTGTACTAGGCAACAGAGCAAACAGCAAGTGCAAAGGCACTGGGGCACGAGTGGGCTCAGCACAGAAGGGATGTGATCACTGGCCTGGAGACTCGGGCGAGAGAAGGACAGGAAGGACATGCTTGACAGCGGGTAGAACAGAAACCTGCCTTTAATCGGGCAAGGGCATTATGTGCTCTGAGATGCTGCGTAGGCATCCCTGGAACAGAGCCTTTATGTTAGGACATAAAAATACAACGGGAACGGTGGAGTCCCAGCAGGATTCCCAGTCCCCTAGTGGGAAATTTAAGTGCCCTTGAACTCCAGGCAGAGGTACTTGGTCTGAATTTGTAACCAAGAGTCACAGAGGATTTAAACGAAGGATGATACACAGTAACCTCCAATTTCTAGCAAGATACGCTGGCTTTTGTATGCTTTGGGAGATGATGAGAGGAGGGAGCATTTATCAGGGAGAGACAAAGATAACATCCTGACCACAGAGCTACCTGGAAATGCTTTGTGGAATAAAGCAAGTGAATCATCCATCAATTACAGCTTCATTCATTATGAATCACCACCGCATGAAGCTAGAATTGGAATTACCTTGCACATGCAGACATGGCCAAGCATGCAGCAAGCAGAACTGTCTGAAAGGAGATCTCTTCCAACAAACTGGTTTCTAACAGGAAAAATAGAAATAAATGAATTAGAAGTCATTGCTGGTTAAACAATCTCGGAACAGCAGAATCATAGTAAAACTTCTCTCCTACATACCAACCAGGAAGAAAGTTTTCAGATGTGTCATCCCAAACAACTTGTCAGAAGTAACAAGATAAAATCAGCAAACGCTAGAAAAATGCTGCCAATCATTCTTTTTTTTCTCCTATCATTAAAAATAAATGATTATGCTCCATAAAGAATTTGGGGCCCGCCTTTTACGTCGATGTCGGGGGGAAGGGTTTGTAGACTGTACGCTGACGTCCAAAACCGAGCTCTGATGCTGCCGACATGTGGGGAGTGCCCTGTAACTCCCAGAGCTCTCGTGCACCGGTTCGTTCAACCAACACAACAGACCCAGGAGGTAGGAACCATTACCCTAAGTTCTGAAAACGAGGAGACCAAGACGAGAGGAATGATGAAATGTGTCCACGGTCACACAGCGATGAGGGGCCGGAGCCAAGACTGAAAAGCCCCATCCGGCCATAACACAATGTTTTGCCTGAGATGGGGAAGGGAGAGAGAATTTGCAACTTTGCCCACGGGGCGTCTCTAAAGGGCAAAAAAGGAGCGTTTATCTTGAGCCGCCTGGCCATGCAAAACCCTTTGCTATCAGCAGCATATTTGCTGTTGAGCCACAGGGGGAAAGACGGCAGATTCTCCAGCCGTGATCAGCATGGGTTGAACCAACCAGAACTCTGAGTAGCGTTTTAATCATCTAAAAGGAACCAGAGCCGTTTGAGGATCACCATGGGAAGAGGTACAGGAGAGTGTGGACAGGCCGCAGCCTATTTGCCAAGCGCTTCAAAGCCCGACGTTCGGGGTCGTTAGCACACACGACACAGGATGCTCAGTGCTTCCCCCGCATGCTGTTCATCATTCTCAGGCGGGACGCTGAGGATCTCCGTTGACAGAGGAAAAGGTCGCGTTTTAGAGGCCAGGTGGGCTGTCCCTGAGGCCCAGCTGACAGGTGGGAAGCCGGGCGTTGAACCTTGGGAAGCCGATGCCCGAGGCTCCACGTGGCACCGCGTGGAAACGTGACTAATACGATGTTAGCAAACTACAGACTAAGGGGTGTGCTTGCTGAGTTTATCCCAGACTGGCTCCCAGCGGGAAACCCCGGTAGCTTTCCATCTTTGGACTTTTCCTTGCCAAGGACATAGCATGAAAGGACACTTTTCCCCCCCTTTTCTTTTTTCCTCATATGGAATGTGTCAAACACAAAGCAAAGTATGAAGATAGAATAACAGACACCTGTGTATGCACTACCCAGATTTAATAAAGTTTAACAATTTGCCAAATGTCTTCAGGGTTTTTAAGAAACAAACAAGCCCGGCCGGCGTGGCTGAGTGGTTGAGCGTGGACCTATGAACCAGGAGGTCACGGTTCGATTCCCCATCAGGGCACATGCCGGGGTCGCAGGCTCGATCCCCAGTGTGGGGTGGGCAGGAGGCAGCCGATCCATGATTCTCTCCCATCACTGATGTTTCTCTCTCTCTCCCTCTCCCTTCCTCTCTGAAATCAATAAAAATATATTTTAAAAAACAACAAACAACCAAACAAACCAAACTACTGCCGATCCAGTCCCTCCGATGCCTCTAAGGCAGCGGTTCTCAACCTGTGGGTCGCGACCCCTTTGGCGGTCGAACGACCCTTTCACAGGGGTCGCCTAAGACCATCCTGCATATCAGATATTTACATTACGATTCATCACAGTAGCAACATTACAGTTATGAAGTAGCAACGAAAATAATTTTATGGTTGGGTCACAACATGAGGAACTGTATTTAAAGGGCCAGAAGGTTGAGAACCACTGCTCTAAGGTGACACCCGGAGGCAGTCACCCCCTCTGTGAATGTGTCCCCCCGGGGGCCAGCAGCACCCCAGGTCCTCCCACGTCAGGCAGGGTGATGCCCCCCCTCAGTGTGTGGTAGTCACCTATCTCTACGCCGCTCTCGGGCCCTGAGTGTCCCCCCGGGGGCCAGCAGCACCCCAGGTCCTCCCCCGTCAGGCAGGGTGATGCCCCCCCTCTCTACGCCGCTCGCGGGCCCTGCGAGGAAGGATTATTTGGGTGTGGCAAAGATTTTTAAAAAACTCACTTGAATGATCCAAAATATCCCCTTGGAGATGCTCAGCAGCCGTCCCCCGGGGCTGCAGGGCCCCGCGGAGGGAGTCTCCTCCGGGAGTCTCAGGCGTGACGTGGCCCGGGGAGGAGGCTGCCACGGACTCTGCCTCCAGCCGCTCCGACGCCCAGTCATCAGTCAGCACACAGTCAAAATCACCGCCTGGAAGGGCAGAGGCTCCGTAAGCGTGTGTGCACGCGTGTGTGCGTGTTCAGCGACTCTCAATGCACTGTAGCTAGTGATTGTGACACGAGTGACGCCACTGGAGTAGGACGGGACATGGACCCCTAGAGGAGATGGCACTTCCCGCTGCCATCCTCCTTGAACGCTGAGAGGAGGGCCTTCAGCACAGAGACCTGCGAGGGCCGGGGCATGACGGTTGGGTGACGGGTGCCAGGGCCAGTGTGGTGAGAACAGGGCCCACGTGACCCAGGGGAGCCCAGGGAGCATGAAGCTGGGAACCCAGACTGGAGGCGGGTCACAGGGTTGGACTCCGGCTGAGGAGTCTGGAATGTATGCCACAGGCACCGAAGCGATGGTTTGTCTGAGTGAGGGTGGCACCCTAGGCAGGCCTCAGTGCATTCTTTTGGTAAATAACGTGGTTATAATATGTAACACACAGCCAGGGGGCTCTGAAAGAAATCATGAACGATCAGAAAGGATTCTCGGCTTTGACTGCTGTCCTGGGGTGTCTGCAGGGCCAGTTGCCGGAAGCCAAGTCCAGCATGTCATACTTGCAAGAGTTTCATCAAAAGGTTGATGGAACTTGGGGACTCAACAAGGGCTGAGTCACATATGTTGTCACTGTTGGGAATGGCTAAAGGCATTTCCCCAAACCTGAAAAGGGATGATTGTTTGCCAGACAACAGCTCAGGGCATCTTAATCTACATGTTATTGCCTCCTACTGGCCAAACACCTGAACAGCCATAGGCAAATTCCCCCCATTCTGACAATGCTTCTGTATATGAAACCTGACCCTTTGATGTGTATATCTCCACCTTGCCTCAGGACAAATTGTGTTAATAAAAAGCAAGGGGTCCGGAGACTAAGGAAATCTTAGTTCCTTTTAGCTAAGTTCCTCTTACCCCCAAATGCCTTTCAAAATTATGCTTCATCTCTGGACTCTTTATGAAGTTACACACAGCCCTTCTCCAGATTGCTGAACCCTTCTAGATGCTAGATGCTGAAACAAGAACCCAGGCAGCCAGTGACCGAGGAGACAACAGTGGAGGGAAAGACTGAGGCTGCACGCAAGGGCCGTCCCCAGTAAAGACCCCGGGGACCTGCTGGTATAGGGCACGGTGCCTATAGTCAACAACACGGTGCTTTATGCTCCGCAGAACTTGTCAGCAGGGTAGATCTGATGTTGATGCTCTTACCACAAAAATCAAAGAAACCAAAACAAACCACAAGGGGGACTCAAGGAAACTCCTCGATGTGTTGGATGTCACCTGGATGATGGGGATGGTGCCATGGGTGTTTGCATATGTCTGGACTCACTGAATTAGATACATTAAACACGTACAGTCCTTCATATACCCATCATATGCCAACAAAGCTGTTTAATGAAGAGAAGAGGCTAAGTGGTCAAGTTAAGGTGGACATGAGAAGGAACTGGGAACTCTCATGGCTGATTATACAGTCATGAGTGGCACCTAATGAAGATCGGGAAAGATGTGGGTGAGGCTGCCACGGCTGTGAAAAGTGTCCTGTGCTAATGCCCAAGGCTGCCCTCTGAGCTCGTACCACTGCCACTGAGAGTTGGATGAAATAGAAAACTGTATCCTACGTGGAGCTCTGGAAATCCTACACGGGATTTTTAAAAGAAAAGATGGCATTAAGGAGGAAAGCCACACAAAAAATCTTAGCATTAAAAAATGGTCAAGGATTTTTCACCTCTGAAAACACATGTTTTTCCCCCAACTGACATTTAATTTTTCCTCCACCCTTCGTAGTAAATGAAAGGGTCGGATTGCAGAAACGTTTAGGCGATTAGCTCTCTCGTGTTAGATTTGAAGATATTCATTCCATCCTGTTTGCCGGCTGGTCTAGCATCATTTACTTCTGTTTAGAAGGCTGGACCTGTTTCTTCCCAGCAGATGTCCATACCCTCCGCCTATACAGTGGGCATTGCTGCCGGCTACAGAAGGAAGCACAAAGCCACACACAGAAGTTCCCAGCGAGGATATTCACGGAGAGGCAAGGATGAGCTCCCGAGAAAACCGCAGACCTCCAGCTGGGCTGCCTGCCTCAGGCCAACTTGCCTTTCTGTCTCAGGACTGGCAGACATAGAGCGGGAAGTCCCGCCCAGTCCTCCCTTTGTGAGTCCTGGACCCATTTTCAGTGTGACTCAAGGGCCTCCTCCGGGAATGCATCCCCCATCGCAGTCCTGGGGTCCAGGGAGCTGCCTGAAGAATGAATTGCAACTAATGAGGGGAGGGATCTCGACACAGCTGTGAAAGGGGTGAACTGAGGATCAACAAAATAGGCAACAACAAAAAAAATAAATTCTTTTAGCCTGAAAAATGAAGCAAGAGAAAATGAGGGGAAGTGAGTTTTGATTGCATCCATTGCCCAGAGAGAAAACAGCAAAACAACTTAATTTTGAATTCTTGAGGCTTTGTAACGAGGCTACGTTTCCAGAGAAAAAGAAATTGCTGATCAGAGTCATGGGGCCTGGGGTAAATGCGGAGAAGGAGAAGTCTGGGGAGCGCTGATCACAGTTGACAGCTGAGCTGAGCGATCTCCAAGCCCCGTGTGCACCCCGGCTGACGAATCACCGATTTCAGAGGGGGCGGTTTGATTCGCTATATTTAGAAGATATTTGGAAACCTTGAGAATTTTTAACAAGGTACCTCAAGCATGTGCAGCGCTGCTGTGGTCCAATTGCTTTAAAATTGTTTGGACACATTTTGAAGAGGCAGCCATGGGAAAACTAGATGTGAATTCCCAAATCTGGGAAGCACTGTCTTCAGAACAGCGATTCCCAAACTCTGGTCCTCCAAGCACCAGATTCCTGAACTTTGCCATATCCCGGAGCCTGCCTACCCCTAGACATTTAATATTTTCCTCTAATTGTCCCGATAAATACCCATTGTTTCCTTCCCACTAATAAAAGTAATTATAACTACAAATTCCTGAGCATCCAGCATTGAACGATGCCTGATATTTATTGTTACTTTTAATATTAAAATATGCTTTGAGTTTCCATTACTATGTTTTATATGCATATGTGTACATATTATATGTATAATATATTATATAATGTGAATAATATTATATAATGTACGGTATATCTAATATATACATCCAGCATACATTTCAATAGGACTATGTCATACATTAGTATCATATACTGCTATATATGATAATATATAAATATATTATTATCACACTATGCCTACATATCTTGTTTAAAAATGAGGAAACTGAGATTTTGGCCAAGTTAAGTAACTATCACAATGTGCCCAAACGAGGACCTGAACTCCGACTCCAGCATTCTTCCTCCACCCACAGCCCGTGCAGGAAGGACACCTTGGAGATATGCATGTATTTTCCAGGTTTTATCAGCTTGATAATTTAGGCATGTAAATTCTGGGCTATCTTGCAGGACATGGACACATATGTATTTGGATCATATGAGTAGTGGGGAGAGAGCTGTAGGTGAATTTTTTAAGTGTGGCCCATCCTCTGTGTCCAAATGACTGTGGTCCCCAGATCTGACATTGGGCCAGGACCAGGCGTTGCGGCGCCCACTCGGAACTGTCCCACTAGGGAAAGGAGGGGCAGACTCACCTCTGTCGCTGCAAGGCTGCGCTTCCGGGCTGCTGGCTCCCTCCAGCCAGCTGGCCTCGCCCGGGGACGAGTCAGCATCAGCGAAGATGCTTCCCCGCAGCCAGGATCTAGGGGCCCCGAGGCGGAGGAGAGAAGGGAAAGAGCGGCGGATCCTCTTTTTCTTCCTAAATATTCTGGAGAGAAAGGAAAGCAGCACGGTGGGTAATGAAGAGCGGTCACCCCCAGGTTCAAGACAGAGGATTTAGTGGGAGTGCGTTGGGGAACAGAGCCCCTCTCTCCCATTCAGGTCCCCGAAGCTTGCTCATTGTACTTGTTCCCTTGATTCGTTCCACAGAAGTTCCTTACGTTTCCGGGTGTGCCAGGTGCTGGAATCAAAGTGAAGGATGCCAAGATAAAAGACAGAACCTTGGGCCCTAGCAGGTTTGGCTCAGTGGACAGAGCGTTGGCTTGCGGACTAAAGGGTCCCAGGTTCGATTCCGGTCAAGGGCATGTACCTCCGTTGCTGGTTCCTCCCCAGCCTGGGCCCTGGTCGGGTCTTGTGCAGAAGGCAACCAATCAATGTGTTTCTCTCACATCAATGTTTCTCTCTGTGTCTTTCCCTCTCTCTCCCACTCTCCTTAAAAATCTATGGAAAAATATCCTCGGGTGAGGATTAAAAAATAAAATAAAAGACAAAACCTTGGGTACCAGCAGTATACAAGCTAGTATGGGAGAAAGACAAGAACAGTGACGCTGTAGCTAAGGCTTTCACGGAGCTCATTCTGCGCCAGGCGTCTTTCCTAGTGGCTTACGTGTAGTAACTCACGCCATCCTCAGAATGGCCCCGCGAGGTAGGCACCATGGTTACCCCATTTTTCAAATCAAGAAAACGAAGAACAAAGAGGTTGAGTAACTTGTCTGAGGTCATAGCTGAGAGGCAGACCCAGGCAGCCTGGCTCCGCCGTCTCTGCTCTGTGACGGCGCTACGGAGGGGAGGTTGCTCTGACAGATGAACCAGGGCCGCTGGCCGAGGACAGCAGATGTCGGAGCAGAGGGGGGCCATAGCGCATTGGGAGTCCGGGGAGGTTTGTGAGGGAGGAGAGCTCTGAGCTGATCAGGATGGTCTGGGCTGTTCAGTGAAGCACAAGAAGGTCCCATACTGGATCCTGCTAGGAAAGGAGGCTAGGAAGGTAAGACAGGAAAGGAGGCTAGGAAGGTAAGAAGGCTGGTCATGAAGAACCTGGGATGTTATGTGAAGGAGTTGGAATTGGATGTTCGAGCAAAGGGAGATGGCTGAAGTGTGTCAAGGGGGAGGGGGTGACGTGACTGTCTGTCTTTCTGAAAGACTTTGGCTCTTCACACATGCACAGTCCCAACAATCCGTCCTCTACCTTATAACCAGTGTTATCCTGCTATGGAGAAATCGGACAGTCTGTCCATGGTTCCTCCTTATCTGCTTAGCCTGGAACGCGACCCCCTTCCACGCAGCCCCTGCTTCTGCGCCCCGTCTTCTCTCTTGCAGACCAGCCCTTCTGACCCTGAGCTGTATTTCCACCAAACTACTTGCATTCCCCACTTTGCATCGGGGTCGCTCAGAACTCTCTTCGGAAGTCTCCTTTCCTGCTTCTATTTTAATGGACGTCTGCATCTCTCAAGACTCTCATCACCGTCTCTAGGAAGGTTGTTTTAGCCTGTCCCCCCAGGTCAAATCGGCCTTCTCCCTGTTCCCCTCATCCCTCCCCATTCAGACTTCTACCCCAGCGCCTGCATCAGATCACTGCTTCAGTTATTTACCTGTCTGCTCTACCTGCCCCTCGTTAGCCTTTGTGCTTCCACAGTCTGGAGCAGGAATGGGCTCCTTATAAGTGAACGCTGAATGGGCGAATGAATGAATGAATGAATGATGGCTGGATGGGACTTTGGATTTTTCCATGTAATATTTCCTACTTACCTAACTGAGTTCTCCCTGTACATCACACTGGTCTGGGATGGGCTCAGTGTGATGTTGCCATCTCCGTCACAGAGGAAACTGTCCTCTGTCCAAATGTAGTAGCCGTTGGTGAGGAGCCTGGGACTCCGGCGACAGGGAAGGTAGGAGCCTGTCAGGGGATCTAGGGAGCAGCAGTCAAAGGAACCGTCACCAGCCAGGAAATCACAGGCAAAGCTGAAGAGGGAAGAAGGACACATACAATGGAAGATTACTTGGCCACAGACGGCATGGATGGACCTGGAAAGTATTACGCTAAGTGAAACAAGTCGGTCCGAAAAAGACAAATACAGTGGGGCCTTGACTTACGAGTGTCCCGACTAACGAGTTTTTCGAGATACGAGCTGTCTCTTGGCCGATTTTTTGCTTTGAGTTGCGAGCTAAAATTCGGGTTAGGAGCCAGCTTCAGATACCCCACCGCTAGTTGGCGCAGCGAACGTCACAGTGAACGCCACAACATCAGCCCAGCATCACGTGTCTCACTCGTTCACTTTTTGATTTGACATACGAGTAATTTGAGTTACGAGCTCTGTCACGGAACGAATTAAACTCGTAAGTCAAGGCCCCACTGTACCACGATTTCACTTCTATGTGGAATCTAAAGAATAAAATAAATGAAACAAGGCAAGTAAGTCTTAAACCTTCCTGTTTTTAAACCAGGAACACAACAAAATAGTGCCTCCAGGAGGAGAATTTGATGATTGATTTTTCTTGTAAAGAGCCCCATGGAATACCTTGGGAAAACGCACGTGGGAGACAGCTCTCCAGCAGATTCTCTCTTGGACCCGGAGGAACCTGCACAAGCCAAGGAGAGAGAAGTAGACGTTCATCACCCTCACCAGCACCCTCACCAGCACCCACGCTGCAAACAGTGACAGCGCGAATGGGAAGGTGCCAATAGCTGATGTCCCGGCCCCTGTGGAGACTCCAGCAGGGGCAGCCATCCAGCGAATGGGCTCTAACACAACCTGTCACCAGGTCCCCACGGGAAGCCAGAATAGCGTGGGGGCTTCTGTCTCCTGTGCCTTCTCTTGCTCAACACCCCTTTAGAGGACCCTGGGAGCAGGATGAGGCAATAATACGTCCTCAGCATCCAACTGACCCATGAAAAGCAGGGAGACAGCATCTTGTGTGGAGCTGGAGAAAACCGAAACCAATGGCCCCATGCGCTGGCTGTTTTAGCCGACTCAGTATTTCTGAGGGATCGATCGTCTGCCCTGGAGTTCTCTCAACAGCGCACTTTAAGGGACTTCCATTGTACAATAATGAGCAAAAGGCATTCGTGGAGGGAAAACAATAATGTTTGGTCTCACATAAAAGATCTTCTAATGTAGGAAGTATTCTTAATTAAGAAGCAAAGGCATCCATCCATTTGTTCCAGGTTAAGCAAAAGCGTGGCCATGGATTTCCACTGGGGAACGTTGTAGTTCATTGATATTCTAAACTCAGACTTTTGTATCATACAGAAATGCCGTGAGTACTTCTACTCGACAGGCTCAGTGAAACTTGATCCCATTACTGACCATTAATAATAGCTAAGCAGCGAGAGGAATTGAGACGTTCGGCTAGGCCGGCTGAGTTATGAACTGAAGATGCGGTACACATACACTGGCAATACGACTCCCCCACAAGCAAAGACAAAATACTGCCATTTGTGACAACATGGATGGACCTTGAGAACATTGTGTTAAGTGAAATAAGTCAGTCAGAAAAAGCTAAGAATCATATGATTTCATTCATAAGTGGGATATATTAAAACTGAAACTCATGGGCACAGACAGCAGTGTGGTGGTAGCCAGAGGGAAGCGGGTGGGGAGATGGGGTGTGGAGGGGGACTAAGATATGGTGATGGAAGAAGGTTTGATTTGGGGGGGGGGGCACACAGTGCCATATACAGATCATACATCACAGAAATCTACACTTGAAACCTACATGATCCTATTAACCAACATCACCCCAATAAAGTTAATAATATTAAAAAGAGAAAAAATAGTAGGTGTGGGAGGGAGGGCTGGAAGCAGGGTTTGGGGAGAAAAAAACAAGAGGAAGGAAGAAACTCGAAACCACTACCGTTTTAAGAAGTTACGCCCTTGTTTTCTGCAAGTAGCTATCAAAATCATTCAGTGTGTTGTGTGTGTGTTTTTTTAAATAGACAAACAGTTTTGCATCTTAATAGTAGCGGATAAACAATCTCCTTTCACATTTATGCACAGGCATCTAAAAAAAACTGGTGACTTTTTTTTTCTACTAAAAGGAAAAAAATATCACATTTCCCTCAAGGAAAGAGATGAAGTCAAAATCATTGCCAACGTGAACACTGGCATTTCAGAAGCACAGGCTCCTGACAGATGGTTAATGGTACGAGTATCAGCAAAATCAAAGCAAGGAAATGGCTCAAAGAAGTCTAATCATTCAGAAGATAATTGCGTGTCGCAATTCGCCCACATTGACTTGCCACCGGTGTTGACATCAGTCGAGATATTCGGTACATCTTGGGCAGGCTGCTTGTTCAAACTTTACAGATTTCCTGCAAAAGACATTAAAAAAAAAAGGTGGACTATATGTTAAAAATAGAAAAGTGATGCCCAAACAGATGGCATCTACTAATTGCACTGGTCGGATGTGTATACTGAAATAAGGCAGAGATATTGGGTGGGAGGCAGGGGACCGGATTGAAGGACCCCTGGGGTTGTCCCTGCTCTACATTCTCCATTGTCTTGCTCAGCGCATCTAAATGATGTCTTCCTGTAAATAAGATCAACATTTTCTTGGGGAAAGCCAGACTTGCAAAGGTTGACTTGTCAGCAAAATAAAAATAATAAAAATGAGTTATTTGATTAAGAACATGGGAGGACATCTGTAATAGTATCAACAATAATTTTTTTAAAAAAATCTGAACAACAACAAAAAAGATTGGTCCTAGAGCTCTCTAAATAAACTCATTTATATTGTCATCATCCAAAACACATCCATCTCATTATCAAGTTTCAAGTAATGCGTGGGATTGGTGTCTGCCCCTCATCCGACACCTTGGACCACTGACAGGTAGTCACAGAGCGGGCCAGTGGTCTTTCGTACTTGCTATCAGCCTGGACATTCCTGAGCATCGTAGGCAGAATTGCACTAAAAATAGTCCAGCACTGGGCAGATTTCAATACTCAGTTCCCGAGGACATACTATGTACATTCGCAATTACAACTCAAACACATCCCCAAGTGCGCACATCATGTCAACTATGACCATTTACCAACTCACCACATAGATCTACCTTCTGTTAACTATGAAGCTGTGTCGGTATCACTGTCCTAACAGCTTTCTAATGCAGGTCTGAATGCTTTTCTGAATCACCACCTCCATCCACATTGAAAAAATGTGATAACTTAGCAATGCGTTGTTTTTGTAGCTGTGACACACAGCATTGACCCGGGATAATTCTGTAGCTCTAGGTGGATTCTTCCAGTAAATTATATGCAAAACCTGTTGGAAAACATTGACCGTGGCTTATCCAGACCTTCAGAGAAGTCAGGAGGACTGCCTGGCACGCCTTGCATGATTTTGAAATCAAAGCACACATTCAGAGAGCTCACTTGCTTGGAATGTAGAATAATTGTGTCTCACGGTAGTGGAATAGCATGCCCCTGGTCCTTTGACTTTTGATCACTATCATATGACTATGCCCAGCCCCAATGACCCTGTATTAGCTTCCCCCAAGCACTCAGTTCAATTCGGAGCTGGCGTGTCCTGCAGCCGAAAGCAAGGTCCCGTAGCCGTACCCTGTGAGTACCCATGGCAGCAACAGCAGCACGTGAACAGTTAAGTGAGTGTTAGTAACTGGGAAGAAGACTCCAGTAAACAGCTCTCAAACTTCTCAAGAAACAGATCCCGTCTACCAGTTCCCTCAAAGCGACAGATCTGTTTGGGAAAGTAATTTGCCCACACACATCCTTTCCAAAGGGAGCTCCCTGTCTTACTTTCCAATTGACAGATAATAAAATAGTTACTGAAAGACGAAGCCTCCCGAGCAAGACGGTCAGCGGAGAAATCCAGGACGTAGCCGCTCTTCAGCTGCAACGGACGAATGCCGGGCTGTCAACAGGTGCAGAGGTCGCCTGATGAGGGGAAACCCCACCTTCCCCTCCTTTTCGGCGATGCCCGCACGGTGCAGGTGCAGGCATTTGCAGGATTTCGTCCTCAGCCGCCTCTGGTTCCTTTGGCTGTTTCCCAGAACAGAAGAGCATGTAGTTCTTGGGAAAGTCTGCCTTCAAACCGTTCTTGTTTTCGTTCAAAAGCAGCCTGCGAAACCAGGGGCTGAGCGGCAGGATGAGGTCACACTTCCTGTCGGGCTGAGTGACAGTCTCGCTGGGGAGCATGGTGGAGACTCAAGATTGTCTCCTGGGGCTGCCACGGGGGATGTGGATGCATCAGGTCGCCAGGGAGACGCTTTTCTGAGCTCACTGGGCACCCCCAGCTGCGTGAGCATAAGAAACACTCAGACAAGCCACACTTCCTGCGGCTCATCTTCTGGCTGTTTTCAGTATGAATCGTTGCATACCAGTGCTTTGTTCCAATCAATACAATTTATTGGTGATAATGCACTGATGCTATGACGTTCAGAATGCCATTGACTACCAGGAGCTTGATCTGGGGGAATGTCAGCACTGGGAATAGGTTAATCCAGCAAACTCGGGGCTTTACAGGAAACTATCTACGGGTGGCGGTTTGCATCCTATATTTTAGTTTGCATTCTGTATTTATATTTTAGTAGTGCTCAAAGAACTGGATCTTGGTGGTCCCTGCAGTTCTCTGCTGTTGCAAGTGATCCAAGAAAAATACACATTCCAGCAACACTGAGGCGCATGTGGTCATGGGAACAGCGTGGGTTTGGGAGCTACATAGACTGCGATGCAAACTCTGTCCTCCATAGATTTGTGACTTAACCTGTTGGAGCTGCAGTTTTCTCAATGATACATGTGATGATGTATATTTCAAAGGATGGCTTGGAGAATGAAATGAGAGAAAAGGAATGAGAAAGAAGTGAGTCCTCAGCTCAGATATGCAGGATGGGTTCCTTATTCGTTTCCTGTAAATCAACTTTGGAGGCCCCAGTGGGTCAGCCAGGCAGAAACTTTCATCTCATTTTTTTTCCCCTTGAGTTCCCTTTTCTCCTAAGGTGATGCCACAGGCAGGATCTTGTTAGGAGAGCCTGTCTAGCCTGTGGTAGGCAGCTTTCAAAGATGGCCCTCAAGAATCCTTGCATAATCCCCTTCACCCCCCACCCCCTAGAACAGTGATTCTCAACCTTCTGGCCCTTTAAATACAGTTCCTCATGTTGTGACCCAACCATAAAATTATTTTCGTTGCTACTTCATAACTGTAATGTTGCTACTGTTATGAATCGTAATGTAAATATCTGATATGCAGGATGGTCTTAGGTGACCCCTGTGAAAGGGTCGTTCGACCGCCAAAGGGGTCGCGACCCACAGGTTGAGAATTGCTGCACTAGAAGGTGGGCTGAAGCTAACTTCTCCTGAATAGAATAAGACAAAAGTGGTGGGTTGTAACTTACCATGATGAGGCTACAGAAGACTGCTGCTTCTGTCTTGCTAGACCCTCTGTTACCCTCTTGGTTTGCACACTCTGATGACACAAGCTGCCATGTTGGAGAAGCCTGCATGGCAAGGACCTGATGGCTGTCTCAAATGCCTGTAAGCCTGAGGCCCTCAGCTTAACAGCCAGGAATGCAGCCCTAGTCCGTTTGGCTCAGTAGATAGAGCATCGGTCTGTGGACTAAGGGCCTTGGTTGCAGGCTCCTCCCAGGCTCAGGCCCTGGTTGGGGCTCGTGCGGGAGGCAACCAATTGATGTGTTTCTATCACATTGATGTTTCTCTCTGTTTTTCCCTCTCTCTTCCACTCTCCCTAAAAGTCAATGGAAAAAATATATCCTACCCTGGCTGATTTGGCTCAGTGAATAGAGCATCGACCTGGGGACTGAAGGGTCCCAAGTTCAATTTCAGTCAAGGGCACATGGCTGGGTTGCGGGTTCGGTCCCCAGTAGGGGGTGTGCAGGAGGCAGCCAATCAATGATTCTCTCTCGTCATTAATGTTTCTATCTCTCTCCCTCTCCATTCCTCTCTGAAATCAATAAAAATGTATTAAAAAAATTTTTTTAAACCTAGCCAGTCAAATTCATACCAGTAAATTATAATATAAGAAAGAGGCAACCTGAGTTCAAAATAACTGAATCTGACAGGCCATGTATACTCACTTTCGCTGTAGCAGAAGGCAGTAATCAACTATGACAGGCACCATATCCTGTATAGAAACCATAAAGAAAGCATCAGCATCATATATTTGTCCAATGGCTCACTGGTTAGACACAACATAAAATGAAAGTGGTCTGTTTAAGACTTCTGGGAGAATATAACTCTATACCATGTTTTTGGTAAACAATTTGGCAGTATGTGTCAAAAGTCGTAGAAATGTGAAAAAACTTTACAGTAGTAATTCTATCTAGGAATGTATCCTAATAGTTTTAAGAAAAAAATTTATAATGCATTAAGGTATTCACTTCTGTATAGAGACAGGAGAAGGAGGACAGGAGGAAGAAATCAGAATTAAATAGACTACATGAAAATATAATACAGTAAATTTGCTGTTTAAATAAAATATTATGTAGATATTACAAGTTTATAAAGAGTTTACAATAACCTTATGATAAACATTAGGTTAAAAATGTGTATTTATGTCACAATTTTGTAAATTTGCAAAGAAAAAAAACAGAATAAAATACATCAAATGATAACAGGATATAACTAGTCCTGTTGGTAGCTCATGTAATGAAGGTTGTCCATATTTTGTCATAATCTTCCAAGCTAGCTATTTTAAGTTAATTTAACTTCCCAGTTTCATAATATTTTGATTGCTTTAAATTCATCATGTATAGATTCATGTCAAGTGAACAGCAACCCATAATTTTGGCCTTTTAAAGAGAAACAGTTTGAGGGAGAAACAGCTTATTATGACCGAAAATTGTCACAAAACCAAGCATCAGATTTCAGCACTACTCTTTCATTTTCTGCTGGCTGCATAGAAATGGCTTTCTTTTTAAAAAATCCTAGAAGGCCTGAGTTATTAGCAGGAAAAAAATCCCATCAGGCGGGAGACAGCACTATGTGAAGAAAATGCTATATGCTAGCACTTGTTTGACAAAAAAAAGAAAACTGAGGAACGCTTATTTGAGATTAATATCAGATAAGGGAGCTATAATCCTGGAAGCATTATAGGGCTATTCCTAACCCACCTATCTGCCTCCTTTAATCATCAATATTCTTCTTGGCTACATTCAAAATCCTATTTAGATTCTTCAAAAACAGAAAAATCAAACATTTAAAAAGTGTTAAAGCTTTATCAAATTTCAACCCTGAACAAGAACATAGTGGGCCAGATAACCTCAGGGGGGAGAGGGGAGAGAGGAGAATCACCCTAGAAATGCTGAGGAAAATTTAAAAGTATAGCTGAGCTCCCAAAACCGGGTCTAAAGTGAAAAGGGAACTGAAAACCCAAGCAATAAGCCCTGAGCATGTTTCTAACTCTCTATCCCTCTCCCTTCCTCTCTGTAAAAAAATCAATAAAAATTAAAAAAAAATGCTTCAGATTATGTCCTTCCTGTTTGCTCAGGGTTCATATTTGAATTGCAGTGGGAATAATGTTTTTTGTTTGTTTGTTTGTTTTGTTTTTTTGGCAGAGAGAGAAAGAGAGATGGATGGAGAGAGACAGACTGAGAAATGATGGGTAGGGCAGAGGAGGAGGATCGAGAGAGACTGATTAGCTAGTGAGAACCCTAGAATAAAGTCTTAATAGAAGTTAAATCTTGATGACAAGTACAGTGTCTTACTCATCTGTTTAATCCTCAGAAGCAAACAGGGCTTGACACAAAGTAAGTCCTCAGAAAATGTCTGTGTTTGTGGAAGCAATAAAGAGAGAAACTGGGTCTGACCTCAGAGGCAACAATGACTAGATGCATTGGTCCCTGTGAAAGGTGAGAAAGGAATGTTGGGAAGTACCTGGCATTTGCATGTCAATTATAATTTTAAAAAACATGTAAAGCTTGTTCTATCTAATTTAATTCTAAAAACAACTCTGTGGATTTAAAATTACCATCTACCACCCTGACTGGTGTGGCTCAGTTGGTTGGGTGTCCTCTTGTGCATCAAAAGGTTGCCTGTACTCTTCTAGGTCAAGGGCACATGCCCTAGTTTTGGGCATGATTCCCAATTGGGGGTGTGCAGGAGGCAGCGAATAGATGTTTCCCTGTTGCATCTCTCACTCTCTCTCTCCCTCCCATCCTTTCTCTCTAAAAATCAATTACAAAATCTTTTTTTTTAAAGCACCTATTGCTCTCTCTCAGTTTGGGAGGTGCCAGCAGGGCTGTTTACCCAGGTGCTGGGGACGGTGTGTGAAATTCTCACTTACCTGTGAGGAAAGGAGAATCAGAGAAGTGTCTATCCCAGGAACACTGGTAATAGTGTCAGGTCTTATTTACAACTCCTGGTCCTATTCCAAATCGCTGGCTCCAATATGCTTTCTTGTTTTAGGTTGCTATTAAAAAAAAAACAGTAGCAAGACGCAAGTTAATGTCTTTATTCCTTTCAAATGTATAGTTCCCTATGATCTTCATGAGACCTATTGTTACAAAAAAAAAAAAAAAAAAAAAAGAAAGGAAAGAAATGATGAAAATCAAAGGGTGTTTACCCTCAGCCTGGTGACACTGGCTCTGTGGAACGTTGTGCAAAAATACAAAGGAGGAAGTAACCCAAGACCTGACCACAGGGTTGTGTTGCCTCAATGTTTCTACTATGGCAAAACCACGGCTCTGGCAACACCCCTGCTACCACACTCTCTGCCCCCGGCCAACCCTTTTCCCTTCGCCACAGGGGCAGTTGTTCCATTCGAATGTCAGGCAGTGGCCTTGGAGAAGCTGGTAGTGTTCCCTGGCACTGACCAGAAGCCAGGCCCTTAGACAATCCAAGTGACTAGTTGGAGCACATATTCTGCCCCTGCTCATCCTGCATGCTGCTTTTCATTTTCATCTTTGATAACTGCACTGTGTCAGAATGACCTGTTGCTATGTTGGTCTGCTTGACCACACTGCTAAGTGGCTTCTGATCAGGAATTAAGCCTCTTCATTGCTATGCTCCTTAGGCCTGAGCACTGTACTTGGCACATTGCAGATGTTCAGTCAGTGTTTGTGGGAAAGAAATGGAATGATTTTGTTTTTATTTGTCAGAGCCTGAATCAAAATGATATAGAACTATGGGACAAATAATAATTTTGGAGTCTGCATAGAACTCTTATTTGAAGCATACTCATCCTTCAAAACATGTTTCAAATGCCACTTCCTGTATGTGGT